CTATTTTTATAAGAACAATGGTATAGGAATAATTTAGTAAACGCTTATGCATTCACAAGGTGAAGGTTTCTGCAGCAGTTTTCAATATTAATTATTAAGAGTGTGTAATAACTTGGAAAAGGGCTTTTTTTTTTTTTTTTTTTTTTTTTTTGCTTTTAGAGACAGGATCTCTGGCTATGTTGCTCTGGCTCGTCTCAAATTCCTGGGCTCAAGTGTTCCTCCCATCTCAGTCTCCTTAATGAAGCTGGGATTATGAGCACGCACCACTTCATAGAATAAAATATTTTTATTTATTTATACTATAAAATATTGTTTAAAATAAAAAGTACCTAAATATAAATATACAATATAAAAATAGACTCTAGCCAAGTGTGGTGACTCACAACTCTGATCTCAGCACTTTCGTAGGCTGAGGTGGGAGGATCACTTAAGCTCAAGAGTTCAAGATCAGCCTAGGCAAACGCTATCTCCACAAAAAATACTAAGATTAGCCGGGCATGGTAGCGCGAACCTGTGGTCTCAGCTACTCTGGAGGCTGAGGTGGGAGGATCGCTTGAGCCCTGGACAGGGAGGTTGCAGTGAGCCATGATTGTGCCACTGCACTCCGGCCTGGGAGGCAGAGCAGGACCTTGTCTCAAAAATAAATAAATAGTAAAAATAAAAATAGACTCTAACCCACAAATAGAATTCTATGTACCCTAATAATTTGGTTTTTGTTGTATTTGGAATCCTTCTAAAAGTTTTATTTTGCAACATGATATACATCATTTTATGGTGTTAAAATAATTAATGGAGAGGCCATTAGACTGAGGCTGCTCCAGCACCCTGGGTTCCTACAGAAGCAAACCAAAACCCAACTCAGTGTATTTTATTTGCCACACTTCCACATTCACCCTATAAAAGCCTTTCTTTGGTGCCCCTTTAGCAGAGTCCCAAACCGATTCATGAATCACTGTCTGTTCAAATAAACACTCTAAGATTTTACTGTGCCTTAGTTTCTCTTTTAACAATGGTAATGATATGGAAACACTTAACTGACAAATGTTTTTGAAATTATGTAATATTCACTGACAAGGTTTACACTTATGCTGGTATTAAACAGAGACCATAATCATCTTCTTTAATTAATTTTATTAATCTAACATAGTCTTTGTGATGATCTAAAAATATTTAGATCATACTTTTTTGCTTTTTTTGTTTTTGTTTTTGAGACAGGGTCTCACTATGTTGCCCAGACTGGAGTGCAGTGGCACAACCTCAGCTCATCACAACCTCCGCCTCCCAGGCTCAAGTGATTCTCTTGCCTTAGCCTCCCGAGTAGCTGGCATTACAGGCACATGCCACCATGCCCAGCTAATGTTTGTATTTTTAGTAGAGATGGGATTTCACCATGTTGGCCAGGCTGGTCTTGAACTCCTGACCTCAAGTGATCCACCCACCTTGGCCTCCCAAAGTGCTGGGATTATAGGCTTGAGTCACCGTGCCCAGCCACATATTTAGATCATTCTAAAGAACACATTTATAGAAAAATCTTTTTTTTTTTTTTTTTTTTTTTTTGAGAAGGAGTCTGGCGCTGTCGCCCAGGCTGGAGTGCAGTGGCCGGATCTCAGCTCACTGCAAGCTCCGCCTCCCGGGTTCCCGCCATTCTCCTGCCTCAGCCTCCCGAGTAGCTGGGACTACAGGCGCCCGCCACCTCACCCGGCTATTTTTTTGTATTTTTTAGTAGAGACGGGGTTTCACTGTGTTAGCCAGGATGGTCTCGATCTCCTGACCTCGTGATCCGCCCGTCTCGGCCTCCCAAAGTGCTGGGAAAAATCTTGTTTATAGTATTCAGGATTGATTCCTTCCTTCCTTCCTTCCTTCCTTCCTTCCTTCCTTCCTTCCTTCCTTCCTTCCTTCCTTCCTTCCTTCCTTCCTTCCTTCCTTCCCTCCCTCCCTCCCTCCCTCCCTCCCTCCCTCCCTCCCTCCCTCCCTCCCTCTTTCTTTCTTTCTTTCTTTCTTTGAGATGGAGTCTCATTCCGTTGCCTAGCCTGGAGTGCAGTGGCACAAACTCGGCTCACTGCAACTCTGCCTCACTGAAACCCAGCCTGAGCCACCATTTAAAAAAACATAATATTTGAAGCCGGGCATGGTAACTCATGCCTGTAATCCCTGCACTTTGGGAGGGAGAGGCGGGCAGACCACTTGAGGCCAGTTCAAGACCAGCCTGAGCAACATGGTGAAAACCCATCTCTACTAAAAAAAGAAAAAAAAAAAAATTAGCCTGCATGGTGGTACACACCTGTAATTCCAGCCACTTGAAAGGCTGAGGCACGAGAATAGCTTGAACCTAGGAGGCTGAGGTTGCAGTGAGCCAAGATCATGGCACTGCACTGCAACCTGGGTGACAGAGTGAGGCTCTATCCTAAAATATATATATATATGTTTATATATATATGAGTTGTGTTCTTTAAGGGCAAACAAAAGTTATCCAGGGGAAGGTTGAGAATGCAAAGGGAACAGTACTCACAAAGCCGAGGTATAAAGATGTTTAAGAAAGAAAAAGGAGGCCGGGCGCGGTGGCTCACGCCTGTAATCCCAGCACTTTGGGAGGCCGAGGCGGGCGGATCACAAGGTCAGGAGATCGAGACCATGGTGAAACCCCGTCTCTACTAAAAAATAGAAAAAAAATTAGCCAGGCGCAGTGGCGGGCGCCTGTAGTCCCAGCTACTGGGGAGGCTGAGGTAGGAGAATGGCGTGAACCCGGGAGGCGGAGCTTGCAGTGAGCCGAGATTGCGCCACTGCACTCCAGCCTGGGCGACAGAGTGAGACTCCGTCTCAAAAAAAATAAAAATAAAAAAATAAAAAAAAAAGAAAAAAGAAAAAGGAACTTGATGACGTTGGGAAGTAAATAAGTAAGGTAAATAGGAACTTAATGTGAGAGGCCTACAATGTTATTCTAGGGAGCAATAGTGGTCATTCATTGATGAATCAAAAGAACCATTTTGCTTTCTCTGCTCTTCTCTCCAGGCTGTGCTTACACAGCAGTACACATTGGAGATACTGGGCTCGACATTTAGCTGGAAGACATGCCATGTCTTCTGGAATTCCTTCTAATCTTCCTCTCCCATTGCCCATACAGGATCTTCAAACCTTCTCTGCACTCATGCCCCTTGTCCTACCACCTCCACAGCTCCTTTTCTACAGAAAAACTTGCCTTTTATTTCACAGAAAAAATGCATCCTTTTATTTCGCGGTAGAAATGCAACCTAGAGGCCAAGGTGAGTAGATCACTTGAGCTGAGAAGTTTGAGATCAGCCTGGGGAACAAAGTGAGACCCCGCTTCTACAAAAAATACAAAAATTAACTGGGCAAGGTGGTTCATGCCTGTCATCTCCGCTACGTGGGAGGCTGAGGTGGGAGGATCGCTTGAGCCCGGCAGGCGGAGGTTGCAGTGAGCTGAGATCACGCCGCTGCACTCCAGACTGGGTGACAGAGTGAGACTGTCTCAAAAAAACAAAACCAACCCCCCCCCCCCAAAAAAACAAAAAAATAAAAAATCACACAGAGGGTTTTGTTAATTTTTTCTCCTTTTTTTTTTTTTTTTTTTTTTAGACAGGCTATCATGCTGTCACCCAGGTTGGTGCAATCTTGGCTCACTACAAATTATTGGGCTCAAGTGATGCTCCCACCTCAGCCTCCTAAGTAGCTGAGACGCAGGCCTGCACCACCACGCCTGGCTAATGTTTGTATTTTTTTGTAGAGACAGGATCTCACATTGTTGCCCAGGTTGATCTCAAGTTTCTCAGCTCAAGTGATCCGCCCACCTTGGCCTCCCAAAGTGCTGGGATTACAGGCATGAGCCACCTCTCCAGGCCATGTCCACCCTATTAACATTTGGAAGTGCCTAGCACAGTGTAGACTCTTTAGACTTGTGGAATAACAATGACTACTGAAATGAAACATATAGCTGAAGGTGCTACTAGGGCATATGAGACTTTTTTTCTGACTTAGAACTACATCAAAGAAAGAAGGGCCTAAGACCAAGGTTTGGGAATGCACACAATGAACTGCTCAAAAGAAAGTTAGCTTTAGCAATGACAGGAAGAAGCTATTTCTTCAACGAAACAGAATACACACAGAAAAATTTAAGAGAGCCATTACACTGGCTGGCAAGACAGATGTGGATATTGTGGTCCTGGTACTCACGGAGTTTATAGTCAGGCACACTGTCCTAGCACAGTGACCAATACGTTATCGTATTTACAGCGTTTTGGAGTTTCTGTCCATCTCTCTCAAAAGAATAAACTTTGAGGTAAGTTTCTTACGTAGAATCCCCAGCAGTGTTTGCTACACAGTTAGAGCTCAATAAATGTTCACGGAGTGAATGATGAGGCACAAAAAGGATTTGTTGAATTATTTGTTAAATGAATCAAATAATTTTCTAGGATTCACGGGCTGTCTTCTGCACGATAAGCTTCATTCTGTGGGTCTGAGTTTCTCCTGGTTCCCAATTCTGTGTCTTTTTGTGGATTATCTACTTTATAGCTGGACCTTTGTATTTGTTCAAGATAATTATTCTTCTATTCCTAATAGAAGCAACCACAGCCCTAGCGAAACCGGAGTTAATGCCACTCTTGCAGTTCTTTTCCCCAAGGCAAGCAGCAAAAAATGCATTCCCACAAAAGAGCAAGCTGATCCCCAAATTCCGGGTTTCCCACCCCCACAAGCTGCAGGAAAACAGGAGGGAGGCACGTGAATACTTCTTCGGACCTCAACGATCCCAGAACTTGGCCTTCTAAAACATCCATAGGCTTAACCTCATCATATAACTTAAACAGCCTTCGCAACACAGAGAGCACCACACCAACACCTTCTTATCCAGCTCGGGTTGGGACAAGAGCTCCAACTCCAGACTGCACGCCTCTGTAGCGCGGTGTCTTCTGGGATCTGTAGGCTCCCGCAGTTCGGCTTTCCTCTCTCGGTGACTCCAATTCCCGGCAGTCAGTGGGCTCCAAGGTCCGCCCTCTTTCTGGAGGAGGAGCCCAGAGCGTACGGGAGGGGGCGGACCCTTGCCCCTCCCGAACTTGGGCCGGAGTGGTGCGGGCGGCGCGAGGCGGCGATTCCCACGTGTTGGCTTTCTCACGCTAGCCCACTTTAGTCCTCCTTGACGACCCGGGCCTGTAGGCCCGCTTGCCGCCAAGATGCCGAAGGTCAAGTCGGGGGCCACTGGCCGCCGCTGCGGGCGGCAGGAGCAGCGCCGGGAGCTGAAGAGCGCTGGAGGTGCGGTTCCCCGGGAGGAAGCTGGGGTCGGGTCAGGTCTTCCGGCAGGACCTAGCCTGGGGTGCGGACCGAGACCTGATCGGCGGAGGCCGGTCAAGACCCGCTCCCGTGAGCGCGGAAGGCAGGGGTGGGTCCCCAAGTCGGCGGCAGGCCCTACGCGCAGTCGTTGGCTTCCTTTACAGCTGGAGGATGAACTTAAAGAGTTTTTCAGTCCTGGCGTGACGTTTCATGGCCCTGGTTGGCTCAGAAATCTTCCCCCTACCCATGCAGCTTTCTTTTCTGGGACTGTCTAATATCTAATCTCAGTAGGAAAATTAAGGCTGTTTCGTGTTTTCTTACAGGACTCATGTTCAACACGGGAATTGGGCAGCACATTTTGAAAAATCCTCTCATTATTAACAGCATTATCGATAAGGTGGGTATGGAAGAGGAAAGGGAGAGAGTTGTTGGTTTACTAATTTTATTCCTGTGAATACATAAGGGCAGAAAGTCTGCCTGCCATAAATTAGATGCTCTGTAAATATTTGTTGAATGAATCAAATAATTTTCTAGAATTCACGGGCTGTCTTCTGCACGATAAGCTTCATTCTGTGGGTCTGAGTTTCTCCTGGTTCCCAATTCTGTGTCTTTTTGTGGATTATCTACTTTATAGCTGGACCTTTGTATTTGTTCAAGATAATTATTCTTCTATTCCTAATCACTTTTTTGATCACTTTTAGTTTTTATGTACTCCATCTATTTATGTCTAAACCACACATTAGAAAGTTTGTTCCCCAGAAAAACATATAGTACCACATATAAACTATTTGATGTATTCCAGTACCACATATAAATTGCTTGGAGTATTACTCCTGTCTGAGTTATTGATGTTCTCTTATGGTTATGGATGTTTGGGTGCTAGGAAGTGAAATATACACGGTGCAGATTACACTTATGGTTAAAAGCAAGGAAAGCATCCTGGAGTTGTAGAAAGAGCATTACATAGTTAAAGGATCTTGTTGGGCTTCGTGTCATTTGAAAAATGAGAAAAAAAAAAAAGGTGGTTGTACTATTTTAACCTTTTTAGCTCATAGTTTCCTTTCAGCATCTGATGAAAGCTGTGGCCCTAGAATATTACAGCTGTGTGCAGACATTCAATTTTGTATACAGTTGCTGCTCTTCTGCATCCTTGAAACCATAGGTGGGTTGAGAATTGAAGAAACCTCGTCCAGCAAGTACAGTCCTTTCCCATTTGAACTTGTTGATGTGAATAGAGAAGGTAATAAGAGGCGATTGGAGTATTTCTAGATAGAAATCAGAATGTCAATCCCAGAAATGCTGTTCCTGCTTTTCTGACTCCTAAAGTTGAGCAGTATTCCTCCAAGTTAGGAGAGGTTTTAGATTTTCATTTGCACCAAATGTTATTGAGGTAATTTTGTTAACCACATCGATCATGAAGAATCTAAAAATGGAGTCAGATTAAGGGTTCTTATCGGAGCACATATGAGTAAAGATGGTCAAGTGTAAATTAACTTCTGTGTTCTGATGTGCCAGAAGAGCTAAAGTGTTCGTGCTTGCTTTTAGGCTGCCTTAAGACCAACTGATGTAGTGCTAGAAGTTGGACCTGGAACTGGCAACATGACTGTAAAGTTGTTAGAAAAGGCAAAAAAGGTAAAAAGGGGATTTAATGTTTGGTATCACAAATGACTATGTTAGAAAGCTCAGTTGGTTTTCAATCTGAATATGTTTTAATTAATTGCTATTATTTTAGTAGTAACTCCTGATCCCTTGTTGGAAATTTTGTCTTGGAAAATAGGAGATATTTCGGTCGGGTGCGGTGGCTCACGCCTGTAATCCCAGCACTTTGGGAGGCCAAGGCGGTTGGATCACGAGGTCAAGATATTGAGACCATCCTGGCCAACATGGTGAAGCCCCATCTCTACTAAAAATACAGAAATTAGCTGGGTGTGGTGGCGGGTGCCTGTAGTCCTAGCTACTCCGGAGGCTGGGGCAGGAGAACCACTTGAACCCGGGAGTCAGAGGTTGCAGTGAGCCAGGATTGCACCGCTGCACTCCAGCCTGGTGACAGAGTAAGACTCTGCTCAAAAAAAAAGAAAAAAAAAAAAAGAAAATATGAGATATTTCAGTCAGGGAAACAGAAACCACTTAGGTATTTCAACAGGGAATTTTTTTTTTTTTTTTGAGAGGGAGTTTCACTCTGTTCCCCAGGCTGGAGTGCAGTGATGCAGTCCTGGCTCATGGCAACCTCTGCCTCCTGGGTTCAAGAGATTCTCCTGCCTCAGCCTCCCAAGTAGCTGAGATTACAGGCACCTGCCACCACGCTGGCTAATTTTTGTATTTTTAGTAGAGATGGGGTTTCACTATGTTGGCCAGACTGGTCTCAAACTCCTGACCTCAGGTGATCGCCCACCTTGGCCTCCCAAAGTGCTGGGATTACAGGCATAAACCACCATACCCAACCTCAACAGGGAGTTTAATTAGGAAGGAAATACCCAACCCCTTCCCTTTGTACCCCATAATGCTGGTGCCTTTCACTGGCCACTTCCAACCAGAAGTTGAAAGGTAAGGGAGCTGGACTTCATTATCTATAGGATGCAGAGAGAAGTAGATAATATATCTGGGAAGGCCTTTCATGATGGCTCATACCTGTAATCCCAGCACTTTGGGAGGCTAAGGTGGGTGGATGGCTCGAGCCTAGGAGTTCGAGACCAGTCTGGGCAACATGGTGAAACCCCGTCTCTACAAAACATTGGCTGGGCGTGGTGGTGCATGACTGTAGCCCCAGCTACCAGGGAGGCTGAGGTGGGAGGATTACCTGAGCCTGGGAGGTTGAGGCTCCAGTGAGCCATGATCCTATCACTTCACTGCAGCCTGGGTGACAGAGCGAGACCCTGTCTCAAAAAATAAAAATAAAGATACATCTGGGAACCAAACAGAATAAGCAGCACATTGTTTACCCTGTAAAGACGGTCTATATAGAAGTGGGGCCAGGAGCTGTGGCTCACATCTGTAATCCCAGCACTTTGGGAGGCTGAGGCAGGAAGATTGCTTGAAGCCATGAGCTTGAGACTAGCCTGGGCAACAAAGTGAGACCCAATCTCTATAAAAAATAAAAAAGAGGCTGGGCATGGTGGCTTATGCCTGTAATCCCAGCACTTTGGGAGGCCAAGGAGGGGAGGATTGTTTGAGTCCAGGAGTTTTGAGACCAGCCCAGGCAACGTAGTGAGACCCGTCTCTATAAAAAATAAAAGAAATTCGCCTGGTATGGTACACACCTGTGGTCCCAGCTGCACAGGAAGGTGAGGTGGGAGGATCCCATGAGCCCAGGACTTCAAGGCAGCGGTGAGCTATGATAGCGCCACTCCACTCCAGCCTGGGCAACAGAGTGACACCCCATCTCTTAAAAAAAGTTTTTTTAATAAAAATAAAAGAAGTCAGTGAAACCTCAGCTGAAATTGGAATAAAATTTCAATTTCGGCCTTATTTGACATCTATTTCATTTACTTGAGAAGTTATCTATGCCATGTATTGTGTATGTCAGTAGATGTGACATACTTACAGTAAGAGCAATCGAATTGTATGCTCTTCTCGAACAACATTGACTGCACAGACGTGGTATATTTTCTTTCATCATCTGTTCAATTACAAAGCGTGGAGACAGATGAAACGTGATTCTATTGATTATATGGGTAGAACTCTCACATAATCTGGTTGTCTACTTTTCTGGGTGGTGGTGTTTGTTCATTCATTTGTTTTTGAGACCGAGTCTCGCTCTGTTGGCAGGCTGGAGTGCTATGGCACGATCTCGACTCACTGCAACAGCTAATTTTTGAATTTTTTAGTAGAGATAGAGTTTTACCATGTTGGCCAGGCTGGTCTCGATCTCCTAAACTCGTGATCCACCCACCTCAGCCTCACGCCCGGCTTTTTTATTGTTTTGTTTTGAGATGGAGCCTCACTCTGTCGCCCCGGCTGGAGTGCAGTGGCGCAGTCTTGGCTCATGGCAACCTCTGCCTCCAGGGTTCAAGCAATTCTCCTGCCTCAGCCTACAGAATAGCTAGGATTACAGGTGCCCACCACTAGGCCCAGCTAATTTTTTGTGTTGCTTCTGTTTTTGTTTTTGTTTTGAGATGGCGTCTCTCTCTGTCGCCCAAGCTGGAGTGCAATGGCACGATCTCGAATCACTGCAACCTCCACGTCCCAGGTTCAAGCAATTCTCCTGCCTCAGTCTCCCGAGTAGCTGGGATTACAGGCGCCTGCCACGGTGTCCAGCTAATTTTTGCATTTTTAGTAGAGATGGGGTTTCGCCTTGTTAGCCAGGCTGGTTTCGAACTCCTGACCTCAGGTGATCCGCCTGCCTCGGCTTTCCAAAGTGTTGGGATTACAGGCGTGAGCCACTGCACCTGGCCTAATATTTTGTATTTTTAGTAGAGATGGGGTTTCACCATGTTGGCCAGGCTGGTCTTTCACTCCTGACCTTGTGATTCGCGCACCCCGGCCTCCCAAAGTGCTGGGATTACAGGCATGAGCCACTGTACCTGGCCCATTTTTGTTTGTTATTTGAAGTAGGCGAGTACAATTGAAGGAATATTGGTGGTAGAAATGAGAAAAGAAGTTTGTCACGTAAATCATGTAAGAGTTCTTGTTGGGATAACAAAAAATATTTATATTCCATAATTAACCTAAATTTTTTTTTTTTTTTTTTTTTTTTTAATTAGGTTGTTGCTTGTGAACTTGACCCAAGGCTGGTAGCTGAACTTCACAAAAGAGTTCAGGGCACGTGAGTATACATAATAGAATTAAAGTCATTCCAATCTCATGAAACAAGTCTTTTTACATTTCTTCTTTTCTCATCAGGCCTGTGGCCAGCAAACTTCAAGTACTAGTGGGTGATGTGTTGAAAACAGATTTGCCATTCTTTGATACTTGTGTGGCAAATTTGCCTTATCAGGTATGTTCTGACATTTTCAGGAACATGATACTAAGTGTTTCTCTGACGTGTGTTTCCCGGAAATAACTAGTTAATTCTCTTACAGATCTCATCGCCTTTTGTCTTCAAGCTGTTGCTACATCGACCTTTTTTCAGGTTTGTGACAAAAGACTAGAGTTATTGCCAAATTTTGAAAGACTTACAATTCAGGTGGTGAACATAGCCAAAAATGAGTCAGGTCAGTTGAAAAACTACTGAAGAATTTCTATAGAAAATGTTGATTTGTATGGAGGTCTTTCTGTCTTTTTAATTGAGAGGTTATTTGGGGACAGTGTGCTAGAAGTCCTGCTTCTGAGACCAGACAGCCTTTCCCAACTTTTGAATCTTCCTGCCGTTAAGCCTAGGTTAGAATTTTTGTTACCTTATGTCTAGACAATTGCAGTGGTTTGCTAACTGGTCTCTGGTATAAGAGGTCTTCAAAAAGTTCATGGAAAATGTGTATTATGAAAAAACTATGCATGGATTTCAAAATGTTTCTGCACCACAATAAACTCTGTACTAAGTGAACAGGATCTCATGTGAGGCCCTGAGAAGGATAAGACATCAGTTTGAAAAGAGCCCATATCAGAGCAACATGAACTCTGCTAAAATTGAAGTAAGAACAAACATCCAATTTATGGTGAAGCCTGGTTGGAAGAATGGTGAAACCATTGATGCTTTACAGAAAGTTTATGCGGACAATATCCCAAAGAAATCAGCAGTTTACAAATGGATAACTCGTTTTAAGAAGGGATGAGACAGCGTTGAAAATGAAGCCTACAGTGGCAGACCGGCCACATCAAATTTGTGGAAAACATTCATCTTGTTTGTTCCCTAAGTGACGAAGAAAAACATTGAACAGCACAAACAATAGCCAGCACCACAGACATCTCAGTTGGTTCAACTTACACAATTCTGACTGCAAAATCAAAGTTAAAGTTTCTACTTGATGGATACCCAAACTGTCATACCCTCTTTTCTGAAATATTTTATGAGAAAACAAAACAAAAAACATTGTACTCAAATCAGCTGCAGATAAAAGCAGAGTTTCCAGTGGAAATTTTATATAACTGGGATCAAGATCCTGAAACATGGCCGGGTAGAGTGGCTCACACCTGTAATCCTAGCACTCTGGGAGGCCGAGGCGGGCAGATCACTTGAGGTCAGGAGACCAGCCTGGCTAACATGGTGAAACCCCGTCTCTACTGAAAATACAAAAATTAGCTGGGCATTGTGGTGGGCACCTGTAATCCCAGCTACTCGGGAGGCTGAGGCAGGGGAATCGCTTGAACTCAGGAAGTGGAGGTTGCAGTATGCCGAGATTGTGCCACTGCACTCCACACTCCAGCCTGGGCAACAGCGAGATTATCAAAAAAGAAAACAAGATCCTGAAGCATTTCTTCAAAGAATTGTAACGGAGATGAAATATGGCTTTACCAGTGTGATCCTAAAGACAAAGCAGAGTCAACATAATGCCTACCAAGAGGCAGAATGGGTCGAGTCAAAGCAAAAGCAGACCAGTCAAGAGCAAAGCCCATGGCAACTGTTTTTTTTTTTGTTTTTTTTTTTTGTCCTTTAATGCTCAGGGCATTTTGCTTGCTGACTTTCTTTAGGAACAAAGAATGATAACATCTGCTTATTACAAAAACGTTTTGAGAAAGTTAGCTAAAGTTGTAGCAGAATAACTCCCAGGAAAGCTTCCCCAGAGATTCCTCCACCATAACACTTCTACTCCTTCCTCTCCTCAGACGAGGGCAATTTTTTGAGAGTTTCAATGGGAAATCGTTAGGCATCCACCTTACAGTCCTGATTTGGCCCCTTCTGATTTACTTACTTTTTATTTTATGAGACAGTCTTGCTGTGGTTCCCAGGCTGGAGAGCAGTGGTGTGATCTGCACTCACTGCAGCCTCCACTTCCTGGGCTCAAGCATTCCTCCCACCTCAGCCTCCCAAGTAGCTGAGGTTACAGGCATGTGGCACCACACTCAGCTAATTTTTGTATTTTTTTTAGCGATAGGTCTTGCCATGTTGCCCAGGCTGGTCTCCTACTCCTGAGCTCAAGTGATCTGCCCGCCTCAGCCTCCCCAAATGCTGGGATTATTACAGGCATGAACCATGGTGCCCAGCCCTTCTGATTTATTTTCGTTTCCTGGTCTTAAAAAATTTGAAAGGGTACCCTTTTTTCTTCAGTTAATAATATAAAAAAAAAAGACTGCAGTGACATGGTTAAATTCCCTAGAGCCTCAGTTTCTTTGATACAGACTAAAAGGCTGGTATCATCACTTACAAAAGTGTCTTGAACTTGATGGAGCTTATGTTGAATAATAAAGTTCATGTTTTTTCTTTTTTTTCTTTATTTGAGACAGGCTGGAGTGCAGTGGTGAGATCTCAGCTCACCGCAACCTCAGCCTCTCCTAGGCTGGGCTCAGATGATTCTCCTACCTCAGCCTTTTGAATAGCTGGGACTACAGGGGTGTACTAGCATGCCTAGCTAATTTTTATTTTTTTTTTTAGAAACGGGGTCTCACCATGTTCTGCCCAGGCTGGTCTTGGACTCCTGAGCTCAAGTGATCTGTCTGCCTTGGCCTCATAAAGTGCTGTGATTATAAGTGCCTTATTTTTATCTTTTAACTCAATATTTCCATGAACTTTGAAGTGACTTTCTACATTACATACTAGTGGCTTTCAAACTGCAAGTCAAAAACTATTTAGTGCTTATAAAATTAATGAGTCATGACCATCTTTTTTTTTTTAATGACATGGAATGGAATATATCAGAGGGTACTGCGTGTATACAGTCCAGGTGATTATAGTTCCATGAAACTTTTGTTTTGAAATACAATACGAACACATATACATACAGACATTTGTGGCTTGGCTTGCAATGCCAAATGTATTTTTTAGTGTGACTCATTGTCAAAAGTTTGAGTGTCAAAGTGTAGCTTTGAAGATGCTCTTCTGTTCATTAACCCCTACAAAGTCTCCCCATTGCCTGCTGAATAAAAAGTCTACATCTTTTGGCTGGGCATGGTGACTCATGCCTGTAATCCCAGCACTTTGGGAGGCTGAGGTGGGTGGATCACCTGAGGTCAGGAGTTCCAGACCAGCCTGGCCAACATGGTGAAACACTGTCTGTACTAAAAATAGAAAAATCGACCAGGGGTGGTGGCGTGTGCCTGTAATCCCAGCTACTTGGGAAGGGGGAGGCTGAGGCATGAGAATCACTTGAACCTAGGAGATGGAGGTTGTAGTGAGTCGAGATTACGCCATTGCACTCCACCCTGGGTGACAAGAGTGAAACTCTGTCTCAAAAAAAAAAAAAAAAGTGTACATCTTTTAACCTGTCAAATCAAGGAGACATTGAACATCACAATCTGCCTCTTCAGCCTCACCTCTTCCTTAAAGGTGTCTGCTACCCCATAAATATATTTCTGCTGCTGAAACAATGTATTTCACTTTTTCATAGAAGAGGTGATGGACTAGTGCTGATTTGAAACACCTTCTCATCCAGTCTTTAAAGGCTTATATTTGCAAACTATCTTGTGGTGAGGAGCACAGCCATTATAAAAACAAAGCCAGCTCTCTCATTCTGTGGCAATAAAAAAGGCTGAAAGCGTTCTCCTACCTTATAATCAGCTGCCAATGCTTTGCTATTTCTCTCCCAAGAAAATTCATTGCAGTCAAAATTCATTTATAGTTGACAATGACCATTTTCCTTATTCCTTTTTGCTTTCTTTTCAGATGTGCTATACTTATGTTTCAAAGAGAATTTGCCCTCCGACTGGTTGCAAAACCTGGAGATAAGTTATACTGCAGACTCTCAATTAATACACAGCTGTTGGCACGTGTGGACCATCTAATGAAAGTAAGTGAATTTTGTTTTCTTTCTCTTTTTACTGAGACAGAATCTCAGTCTGTCACCCAAGCTGCAGTGCAGTGGCTCGCTGCGATCTCTGCCTCCCATACTCAAGCAGTCCTCTCACCTCAGTCTCCCGAGTAGCTGGGACTAGAGCTGTGTGTCACCATGCCTGGCTAATTTTTTGGTACTTTTTATAGACACAGAGTTTTGCTATGTTGCCCAGGTTGGTCTTGAACTCCTGGGCTCAACGATCCATCTGCCTTGGCCTCCCAAAGTGCTGGGATTACAGGTGTGAGCCAAAGCACCCAGCCAGTGATTTTTATTATTGAAATAATCTACCTTAACTCATCCTTGAGCATCTAGTTGTGCCTTCTGTGAGGATAGCATCTTTGGTTACTAAATAAAAGTTGCCTTTCAGAGTACTACTTAAATACTTTTTCATTAACAGGTTGGAAAGAATAACTTCAGACCACCGCCCAAGGTGGAATCCAGTGTTGTAAGGATAGAACCTAAAAATCCACCACCACCCATCAATTTTCAGGTGAGGTTAAAATATTGGCTTAATCAATAAAAGGAAAAAAAGTCCAGGCTGGAAGATGTGTGTCTATAGCAGCAGAAAAATATTGAATCAACCTATTCAAACATACGAAAATGCTAATTAGGACACATCCCTCTGCTGAAGTAGATGGAATAATTTGATGCAAGGTAGTTATAAAGTGAGACCCAGTCTCAAAAAAAAAAAAAAAAAGAAAAAAAATTGAATAAAACTTGGAAAACAAGGTAAAATGAAAATAGTTGTTTTAAAGTAATATTATGGGTAACATGTTTTAATTGTAATTGCTTTTGAGATTTAAAAACAAGAAAGAAGACCACTTGATGTAAAACTTTACTACAGCCACATTAGAGAAAAACACGATTGTGTGTGTGGTCAACTGGTGGTAAATGGAGTGGTTTGTCAGTAACTCCTTCAAGGTGGTTTAGGGGTATTGCACAGGCAGTATCTGAAGTCATGTCTGTTTTGAATCTTATTTTTGAAAATGATACTTAGATTTAAATAAATGCCATGTTCTTTGTTCAGAAGTGGGACTATTTTGTTTTTCCTCCACTTTCTTTTTTTAAGATGGGGTTTCACTATGTTGCCTAGGCTGGACTTGAACTTTTGGTCGCAAGCGATCCTCCCACCTCAGCCTCCCGAGTAGCTGGTACTACAGGCATGCAGCACTGTGCCTGGCTTTATTTTTTCAAATTAAAAAAAAATTGTCATGCTTTGACCCTTGTCAAAAAAAATTCTGAGGAAAAGACGTATTCAGTGAAATGCACCAAAGTACAAAAAATCAAATGTCTGTCTTTCTTTTGCATCTGTGTGCCAGCCAGATCAAGATACAGAACATTTTCTTCACTTTAGAAAGTTCCCTTCAATTTTATATATTAAAAGACAAGGTAATACCTAGCAGGCATAGACAAGAACAAGAAGTTTGTAATTTGAAGAAAATGTCTATCTTCTATTTCAGGAATGGGATGGTCTAGTAAGGATAACCTTTGTTAGGAAAAACAAGACACTCTCTGCTGCATTTAAGTAAGTATTACACTAATTTCTAATGTGTAAAGGACCAGTGCTCCAGATACTATGCTAGAATTTGGTCCTTTTCCTGAGCAGCTACCCTAAAGCATAAAGATATGGGTCCAGACAAACTTGACCTTTTTAACTATCTTTAGAGCTTGGGAGGCAGGAGAACTTAATGAAGAAAGGATGCTGGAGTTGAGAGTCAGATCAGGTTTTTTTTTTGGCAAAACAGGAAAACACTCCCAAACTCTGACCATACATCTGCTCTAGTTTTTTTGTTGGAAAAATGAGGTGATGATGGACCCTTTCAACACTTGTGAAGGTTATGTGTCATCTTATTAACTTAGGAAAATGCAACTCATCAATTTGGGGTTCAAGGGTAAAAGGTGAGACACAGTTTTACAGGGCTTGGAGATTTTTTTTTAGGGGATGTTTTGTGGAGGGTCTAGAACTTCTCTAAGAATTTAAGAGGTATTTATCAGGATTTTGCACTTTAAATATAATTAGTGTTTGCTGCATAAGTTTAAATATTCAACAACTTTTAAAATTCCTTAATTGTACCATACAGAACATAGATTTAATTTCATCTAAAATGAAATTATTGCTTAAATGGCTTATATAGTAGTAAAAAAAAAAAAGTTTAAGAAATTACTCTGACTTTGGAATAATAACAGTGGCGTCACTTCTTTATGCTACAGATCAAGTGCAGTGCAACAACTCTTGGAAAAAAACTACAGAATTCACTGTTCAGTCCATAATATTGTAAGTAGAAAATGTTCCTGCAGTTTCATTGATTTGTTTTCTTTTAAAATGTCCATTTTTATTCTTGTTGATCTAGCATGAGATTATTTTGTACACTCCATAGGATCCTTAAAAGACAATATAGAATGCATAACTAGCACAATTTTGACTTGAATTCTGACAGGTCAGTGCTGCTGTGTATCCTGTGGAACAGATAAGAGCAACTTTGATTACTCCACCCTGTCCTCTAACTACTGACAGTTGCTTTTAGCCATAACAAGAATCAGATTCAGCAGTTACAGGTTCCTCAAAGCTGTAGATATGTGTAGCTTGCACAACTTAAAATAACTGTGTACAATTTACTGTCCTCTGAATTGTGACCATGTCTTGTTTTTTGCTCACACAGCAGTTACAAATATAGTTATTAATTTCTAAGTTTAATACCCAGAAATTGAAATAAAGTTCATATGGCTCAATAGCAGATTTCTGGTTGTGAGCCTCATGCTTATCATTTGTGTAACAGTGTGTGTAATGTGATGTTTGCTAACTTTTTAGCTTCCAGTTTAATTAAACAGAACAGACAGAGATAAAGGCCAATTTTCTTTTTATTTTTTATGACTCAGAACCTATATGGTTTAATGTATCACAATACTATCTGCATTTTCTCTTTTATGGGGAAAAAGTCATTAGATAATCTGCCTAAGTATAATAGAAAAATATTAAGCTAGATTAAGAAAAATATTTGGATAAAATATGTGCATTAAGTGTAAAATCCTTAATATTCCCAAGGCTTGGGCAGGTCACCTCTTTGAGAAAAACGAGGTGGTTAAGGTGAAATCTGTAGCAAGAAAATGCATTATTTTGAAAGGAGTAACAGTTGCTTTAAAATTTAATTTACAGTTTTAATTATTTGTGAAGTCTGAAACTAATAACTATTACAGAATTTTAAAGAAGAAAATGGCTAATATAGACAGGATTACTAATTCAAGGTATTCCAAGTTTTTGTTAATAAAGATCAGCCACTTAGAGATCCAAGTCTTATGTAAACAATCAGGCCTTCCAAAGTCTTATTAACAGATATATTAAAGGTGACTATTTTATGACTTACTGAACTAAAAAAAAGAGTCAAGGTGACCTCATTAAAGATATGTCGTTCATTTATTCTGAATCTTATATTGATAGATAATACCAGAAGATTTCAGCATAGCAGATAAAATACAGCAAATCCTAACCAGCACAGGTTTTAGTGACAAACGGGCCCGTTCCATGGACATAGATGACTTCATCAGGTAATTACATTTTTGTTTTCCTAAGTGTTTACATTTCTTTACTGTGACACCTTCAGATTAGAGATTTTAAAGGCTTTTAAGCGGTATAAGGTGCTACCTGGGAGAGTTATTGCATAGCACTTCCATGGCATGGAATAGTATTTGGTGTAGAAGATGGAGGCTAGTTAGCTGCAGCAGAATGAACATTTTCTTTAAGAACAGTAGTTAAGAACAGTCCGAGCCAGAAGATTGCCTTTGTGTTAATGTGGTGTGCATGTTCCTCCCTTCCTGCTCCCTCCCCAACTCTCATTCATAGTCTTAGTCTTAATAGCTTATCCCTCCAAAAGAGTATAAGGTAGAAAAATCATAATACATGTAACTAGATCTGATTTTAAAAATTTCCTTACTGGGAATAGCTGTTGTTAAATCAATCTTAAGCATACAATGCCAGTTAGAATCTTACCTGGTTATCCATTTAGTAATAATATAGTTAGTTTTGTAGCCTGAGGCAAGTTCTATACTTCTCAAGTAAAAAGCTGTCATAATTATCTAGGTAATTTAGACCAAAATTTGTTTTGCTTGAATTAAGCAAGTAAGTCTTATGAAAATAGAATAAGGCTTCAATTAATTACCCAGGTAATTACTAACCTGTACTTACTGTTTTTAATCATTAAGATGTTAACTTTCAGAAGTTCTTGCCTATTTAGCCAATTCACTTTTAAAGCTTCCATGTTCTAGAGGCTGAATACAAAATGAGGGTAGTTTGTTCTAAAAGGCATTGGTTTGACTTTTTCTAAGCTGGAAACACAGTTCTATATAACTAAGACAAATGGAGTTTATATTTTATTGGCTGGCTAGCAGTACTACTGAGTCTTTTTAGATGTTAATCCTAGGCATTGAATACTATTCATAAGTATCTACTTTGCTTTTTTAGAAATTTATCTGGACCTGTTTCTATGGGCCAGCCTAAAAATAACCTCAGGTCTAAAGAGAAATATTTTATCTTTTCCTTCATTTTCACTAAATTTCCTCAAAGTTATTGGGCATGTGCAGTTTACTAACTAGAATCTATTAAGTACACAGGTATCTACAGGGAGAAATAATGTGTATTTAATTTGAATATAAATAACAGCTCAAGAGAGGAAGAAAGGGCATGTAAGATTGGTTATTCATCTGACTTCTGCCAATTCCAAACAGCTTCTTATTCAGTTACCTTGAAACAAGTGCCAGTGAGTTCTCAGGCCTGGGATAATGAGTCTAAGATAATTTTAGTCAAATTCATTACGACATAAAAGCTATAATGAAAGAGGCACCAACATGGCATGGTTTAACCAATATACATCTTATAAATTTAGTCAGACAGTAACATTTCTTCTTTTTTTTTTTTTTTTGAGACAGAGTCTTGCTCTGACACCCAGGCTGGAGTGCAAAGGCACAATCTCAGCTCACTGCAACCTCTGCCTCCCGGGTTCAGGCACGTCTCCTGCCTCAGCCACCCGAGTAGCTAGGATTACAGGCATGTGCCACCATGCCTCGCTAATTTTTGTATTCTTAGTAGAGACGGGGTTTCACCGTGTTGGCCAGGCTGTTCTTGAACTCCTGACCTCAGGTAATCCACCTGCCTCAGCCTCCCAAAGTGCTGGCATTACAGGTGTGAGCCACCGTGCCCAGCCAATATCGTTTCTTTAATAACTAGTATTAGGAGTGGGTGGGCTCTGTCAGCATGCTGTATTCATGTTTTAGAATTAATGGTATAGAACTATATACCATTATGTGCTACAAATTAGCATTTCAGTACCATTCCATTTTGATTTCTTTTTTCAGATTGCTACATGGATTCAACGCAGAAGGTATTCATTTTTCCTAGGTGTTTGGAAAACAGAATTTTTCAAGGTCAAGAAAAGAAATGAATTTTGTATTTTTTGTATTTGAGAAGATAATGCTTTTGCTTTAGAGACATAATTTACTTGACTGTTTTTGGTTCGATACTACTACTGTTGTCACCATTTATGAATCTGAATTTTTAAGTTGGAAAGTTCTAAGTATCCAAGTTTTTAATATATAGAGCTGGTCCAATCTATTCATAATAATCTTCAAGTTCAGGAGCCGCAGAGACGCACAACTTTACACTTAAACTTATCATTTCTAACAGTTTATTGTATAAAGATGTTACTCTTCTATTTACTGTATACTGTGAGGCCTTCTTTAGGCCTTTAGCTCTGTTCCTCCAGTAGTAAAACAGTTAAAATATGCTTCACTAGTCACACATTCCCCATACCATTTCATGTTATTCACATTCCCCGTACCATTTCTTGTTATTCACATGTACAGTAAAATAATTGTTTCTTAAAGTATTTTTATTTTGGTTCTCTCATTCTCTTCCCTATTTATCCTATACACTGTCTGTTATGATTGCTTACCTCTTTCGCTATCCTATAGCATCAGAGACTTAGGGTTCTGGGTAAGCCCAAGTCTGCTACAGCCACCGAGCAGTGCCAGGCATATTAAAGGGCATGACTCCCTACATGTAAAATGAGGAAGCTAAACTGGAATGAAGTTAACAATAAAATTATCTTTTTTTACGGTTCTTAGGTAGATAACTATAGGCACAGCAAAATTTCAAAGGGTTTTGTAATTGAAACAAACTGGTTTTATAGTTTTATGTTTGCTTTCAACTTCAGAAAAACAGCCATTTCCCATAACTACAGGTTCCCAGTGTTCCTGTGATTTCTGGACAATTAAAATTTCCAGTACTTTTTTCATATACCTGGTGCTTAGTTTTAAGCTATTTTAAAACTGTCAGATTGAGAATTTCAACAGATGTCATAAACAAGTTTTATTAGCTACTATGTTTAAATCAATATAATACTAAGTGCTGTTAATATACTATAATAGTTTTAGTAGCTATTTTGTTTCTATAAAAAATTAATAAAAATATCTTTATTGATATTTGGCTTTTTTTAATACCTAAATTAATAGGAGTGTTTCCAATTAATTTAACAAAGCCAGATTTGAAATCTGGCTTCAATTCATATAGTAAATGTTACTACATAATTAAAATAATGCTTGTTCTTGATGTGTAATCCAGAACAAAAGCGTCAAGCTGCTTTTGTTAAACAAATATGAAATACATATGAGGGTATATTTTTTGTTTAATTTCACAAAACTCTTTTGCGAAGTTCACTTGTATCATCTCTATCCTTATAGTTAAAATTTTAAGATTTAACTTGGCTTTCTCAGGTTATTTCCCTCTACCCCTATGAACTTCTGAGTTTTAGTTCCTTTTCTGGCCTTCAGTTTTCACTATCTGTAAAGCTGAAGGACTGTATTATACTACCTCCAATATCTTTTCTGGTACTAATTTTTAAAATACCTGATCAGAATGAAGCCATCATAGTATAAGGCAGCATATTTGTCTATAAGGAGACTTTCCAAAGACAGTACCCATCCAATGCAAATAATAAATTTGAAGCTAATCTGTTGTGCTTTAAATGAGCAAATTCACGTCTCTATTGCCCTTTGAAAGTTGGTTAATCTCAAAAACTACCTTTTTTAAAATATCCTCTGCAAGGTCAATTGTAACAGTTCTCCATCCTTCCTCTTCCCTTTGAAATAAACACAAATAGAATATATCTTACAGCTGCAAGAAAACCTGAGTCCCTTCCAAAACAAAGGTGATTGAAGTAAATTCTCTCTAAAACTTATTCCATAGACTTCATTTATTAATAAGCATATTGTGAAAATCTACATTTGTTCTAGATTTCATGTTTACAGAGCTTTTCACACTTGTATTAGGATCTTTCACAACTACTCTCTGGGTTTTATGAACAGTGAAGTAAAGAATCTGGCTCATGTGACTCTCTATTCATAGCTCCCCTTTGGCTCCTATGAAGGAGCTGGTAGTTCCCTGGAGTAAATAAATCAAAACAAGATATCCTTGGGGGATTTTTAGCTATTAATCTACTCCTGGACCCCATCCTGGGAACTGAGGGAAAACTCCTAGAGAGATATACAAATCTTTGAACAAAATATTTACATGAAAAGTGGCCAGTTTTCTTCCTTGGAGTAGCAATCTGTAAAAATAAGTGCTGCTGTTTAAAAAGTAGCATGCCCTACACCAATGTATTAGTGAGAATTTGATGATTCTCACCAAATAACAACGAAGTTTCACATTTGGTACTGGATGGAGCTTCGGGTAGATCTGCCTTTTAAGGCAAAGTCAACTCTTTCAGCTTAATTCTTTTTCAAGGGAGTAATGTACTGTCTACACTTGGCTTAAACTAACTTCTATTATGGACTACTTTCAATGTACATGTAAATGTTCATGCATGAGAAGCCAATTTCCTTTAACAGTACATAGAAAAGGTGTATTTTGGGGTGGTAATGAACACTTCAAATTAAGTAATGATATTGGTAAGGATCAAATTGCACTATTAGTCTTGTTAATACCACACTGGCACACACACTGCATATATATGTATTTTCCTAAGATAAAACTCTTCTCAGAATTTCATTACTTTTTATTATACACCAACTAGTTTATATTTTAGTTCTTTACAAAGAAAATGCTAAGAAAAATTATAATCACGTTATATGGTTTTAAAATCATAATTCCAGATTTCTTTACATATAAGATGGAATGGTCCAGCAGCTATATCCACTGTCACAGACTTTAGTTCCATTCAATGATATGGCACATCCTGCAAAATTAACTAGTCACACACAAAAAATGTCTCAAATACAGTAAAAATGTACACACAAAGGTAATTTACAATGACAAATAAGGAATGTAATTTTTCTTGGCTGTGCTTCAGAAATTTAGGGTCAGTAGCCTTAATCAAGGCACAAAGCAGGAAAAGGTGAGCACAGCTGTCTCTAGGAGTGGGCAAGGTATGTACAATCACTGATGAGGTATGCATGCACGCAAAGGATTTAAAACTGCTCAGTCTCACTACAAAAATTGAACTGAGTTAAAAGGAAATGCTGTGGCTTCCCCCTACTATCTGGCTCTGGATCGAGTCCACAGTCTTACTTCATCAAATAGAAAATAAAACTGACAAGGATCTCCAAAAGTAAATCACTATTTGCGTAAATGAAACAAAATGCTTCATTAATCCCAATTCTTGGTTGTGCCTCCTGGACTAGAAGCATTTTGTAGACAAGAGTGTTTCACAAAATTGAAATGTAATTCAGGTGAAGGACAAAACATTTTCCACAGACACTTAAAATTCCAAACTTTCAAATGGCCCTTACAGCTGAACCGTTGTATGTTACAGTAGTGAGGGTTCTGGGAATCCTTTAGCAGCAAATGCCGGTTTAAAGGGCACGGGGTCTCTTGGGGTTGATTTGCTTGCTGGCTTGTTCCTCTTCTTGTAGAGCTGCACGGAAAGATTTCACTTTGTCTTGGAAAAAGAAAAGAAAGAGGGAATAAGTATTGTATTGCATGCAGTAAGAGTTTACAACTTTATGGATTCGATCAAGTCAGCTGTGTTATTTCCTAACAGTTACTCAGTATTTTTCCTTTTGTTTTTGTTGTCTAGAAACTCAGAACTAAATACAGTGCTGAACTATTACAAAGTTTTTTGTTACAGATTTCCAGAAATACCTATTTTTCTATATCTTTCAATAGCTTTCTGTTCTGTTTGGCACATTTACAGTTCTTCGTTTTAATTTATTGGAATTCCTTCTGGAGCACAGGCAGGTTTTACATGTGTAAAATACATAGTCTACCTTTTTTTTTTGAGATGGAGACTCACTCTGTTGCCCAGGCTCGAGTACAGTGGTGCAGTGTAGGCTCACTGCAACCTCCACCTCATGGGTTCAAGCAATTCTTCTGCCTCAGCTTCCCAAATAGCTGGGATTACAGGTGTGCACCACCACGTCCAACTAATTTTTGTATTTTTAGTAGAGACGGGGTTTTACCATGTTGGCCAGGCTGGTCTCGAACTCCCAACCTCAGGTGATCCGCCCGCCTTGGCCTCTCAAAGTGCTGGGATTATAGACATGAGCCACCGTGTCTGGCCCCCCAATTTTACCTTTTTTAAGTTATGAAAGTTTAAAATATATTTGAATTTTTAGAAATTTACATTTTGTCCTCATTGTGATGAAGGGGGATTGTGAAGGGGTGATGACAAAACGATACATTTCTTGCTTTTACACATTCTTTCCGGTCACCTACTGATCTAGAGTCATGTAAGAACTAGAAATAGGTTTGTAAATTGTCAGACAAATTACGTGCAGCTAAGATGAGACATCTTTCAATAACAGTGGCTCTCAACTGGATGTGATTTTTGGCCCCCAGCAGGCATTTGGTAATGTCAAGAGACATTTACGGTTATCCCAACTGGTGTGGTGCTACTGCCATGTGGTGGACAGAGACCAACGATGCTGGTAAATATTGTACAAGGCACAAGATAACACTCCTCAACAAAGAACTGCCTAGCCCCAAATGTTAGTAGTGCCAAGGTTACAAAACCCTACTCTGTAGACTTCAGAAGAAAATAAAGTTGGAATCTCAATTTTCCTCCCCTTTTTGGAAGTACAGTGATGTTTTGAAAAGTTAACTTTTCTGAAATTTTGAAATGAATTTAAGGACTTCTGGATTTGGTGCTCTCAAACTGTTACTGTTCTTTTTTTTTTCTGAGATGGAGTCTCGCTCTGTCACCCAGGCTGGAGTGCAGTGGCATGATCCTGGCTCACTGCAACCTCTGCCCCCCGGGTTCAAGCAATTCTCCTGCCTCAGCCTCCTGAGTAGCTGGGACTACAGGCGTGTACTACTATGCCTGGCTAATTTTTTTATTTTTAGTAGAGATGGGATTTCTCCAGTTCACCAGGCTAGTCATGAACTCCTGACCTCAGGTGATCTACCTGCCTTGGCCTCCCAAAGTGCTTGGGATTACAGGTGCCCAGCCCAAATTGTTCTTACGAATCTCAAATTTATCTCTGGATGGTTAAAAAAAAATTCTAAGGACTGAATAATGTAATATATCTATATAGTAATTTCTTAAAAGTTATGGATATGCTTGATATACATGAAATTTGAGAAAAGGAAAGGAAGTCAATTAAGTTGAATGCTACAAAGAAAAAATACCAGAGTGCATTATGATCTGTCTTCTGAATAAAATGGATACAGAAGCTGATTATGAATTATTGCAGATTAGAAAAATGATCAAAACAATTTAAATAAAGGGTTAAATATGAACAATATGAGAAACAAATGAAAATTTTAGTTCAGCAGTCACTGCTGACTTTACAGAATATGATTTCAAATAACCAACTTCATAACCAGTCAGCAACATATATGTGTTGAACATCTCAAATCCAAAAATCTGGCTGGGCATGGTGGCTCACGCCTG